ATGTAGCGTAAAATTATAACCTAAATTCTGAAATAACCTAGAATCCTACGCGTAAACTCTCCCTTTAAAACGTATTTCACTGGTTGTTTTACAAATCAAGTGAATGCCGTGCTCCCGCAGAATAGTCTAGCTAGCTACCAATATTATAGTGAGCACATGGTAAGTTAGTTTGGAACGATCACGCCGCAGAGCGTTCCTGGGCTCATCTCGAGGTGTCGTTGGCTACGGTTATAAACGTAACATTTAAGTCGTGCGTAGTGACACTTTGTAAGCCGGCGCAGCACGTGAGTTATTTTTACTGCAGGTCAAATTACTCAACCGAAAATCTCCACGTGAAAATTCCCAACGAAAACTCACGTGAGTAAATGACTCATGCGTCATTTTACTTGAGTAAGAAGTACTCACGTGTGCGCCGGGCTTAGGCGCAGATCTGCAGATACGCAGTTGCGTAGCACATTATTTCAGCAAACCTTCTGCATTTCTGCATACCTCGCAAATCTATTGGTTTGATACAAAGATCGGCGTGCCTGAAACTCTGTTTATCGTGCATTGTGACCCATAACCCTAACGCATCTACCCCTATTTAAAAAGAAGAATGTGTAAAACATTATTTGTTGTTATTGAAATTTTTGTAAATAAATTATGTAAATAGTTTGGCGTTAATTGGAAAAAAAATTGTTAAAATAGATAAAGAATTCAAAAATCAGAGAAAACAGGTAAATAATAAAAAACCTGTATGGGATGTGTTCCAAGTACCTTTGAGCCGGCGTGATCCCTGTGCTGTACCCGTTTTATTATGATGTTGGCCATGAATATGAGACGCACTGGACCTCATGAGGCAGTTTAGGAATCCATGTTTAAGTCCCCTCTCTGAGGGTCAAAAGGTTATCAACACTTACTCTTCGCACGTCAGTGGAAAGCACATTCATGGTCCTTTCAATAAAAGGGATAAAAATGGTGGGTCAAGTGCTGAAACAAAAAAGTTTTTCTCGTCTGTCCATTAGGCCAATGTCCTCAGAAAATGTCTGATACTTCTGACCTTCCCACTGCCATTTGACTGTGACCTCAATTTACGCACCTGATGATATGTTTCCTGCCCATCCACACTAATACACCGAATATTAAAGCATAGGCTCGAGCCGTTAAGATGTTGTGGGCACGCAATTCCGTATTTTGCCTCCTATACTTCAAAGTTAAGGGGGATAATATTACCCCTCCGTTGACGACATCTTGACCTTGACTCTGACGCCCAAATTTGTCAATTCCCAAGTCCATTTTCACGAACTTCCGACGTCCGCGGAATATCGTGACCGTAGTCGAGCGATTAAGAATTTGGTGCCCAACTGTGACGGGCACGGACGGACGTAGCGGACGAACGGACAATCATGGCGATTCTACAAGGTTGGCGTAGCCATTAACATCTACGTCAGATAAGTTAAAAAATAAAAAGTAAAAAAGTAAAAAAGTAAAAACAATACATACTAAAGAGGTAGGTAAAGGAAAAAAAAGGAAAAAAGGGGAAAAGCCGGCTGCTGCTGCCGCAGCCTGGGATCTTCGAACCCGGAACCCGGTATAGGAGACGGATGTTCTAGCAATTAGGATTACTGCCCGTTGAAGGGTATACCCCATGGATTCACAGCGTACGTGATGTTAATTGTTGTAGCACCGCCACTATTGATTGAATAGAATTTTTAGTGAATTTTTAACTTTTACTTTTTAAACTTTTTCAAATGTTTCAGCCAGAACCACCTCCCAGACGTGCTGATTCTGAAAAATATTTTAGTTTTCCTCAGTAGGCTGCGTGAGTTCTCTAGTTATATTATGCGAGTACGAACTAATTTCGGCTGAACAACTTTTTATATATAGATGCCGTAGTATTAGCACGTTTTATCTGTCTTATAGTAGCGGCCGCCCTGCATTTATATAGTTACGCATAGCACGGCAACACACAATATAACTATCAAGAGCAGATAAAGAAGAGAGATCGTCAAGGTAAAATGCTGAAACAGTGCTGGGCAGTATTAGTCGAATAATAAAACTTTTCCCCGTTAATTTTGAGCGATCCTTTGCA